GAGGTAGCAGGGCACAGGCAGAAGCAGGGGCTGGGGGGAGTGGGCCTGGCCAGGCCAGGTGGTGGGACAAGTGGAGGCCTGGGGGCATATGCCCCCACCCCTGCTCTGCCTGTGCCCTGCTCCTTCCCTCACCATGGGGCCCTTGATGTGCCCCCCTGGTGGTGAGTGACAGAGTGGATTATGTGAGGGTCCTGCACAGCTGGGGTGGGTGCAGGGCAGAGCTGCAGGCAGCTTGTTTAGGGGGTGCAGGGAGTGGGGGCACGCAACCTGGGAGAGCATGGGGACGCATGCCCTTGGATCTGCATGCGGGGTGGGGTGGGCTGGGGCAGCACCAGTCTTTCTGGCACACTTCTCCAGCTGCACAGCTCTCAGGCCAGGCAGCAGGCACCTGAAAATTCACCATAGCCCCCCTGCCCCCTCCCAGCACTGCTGCCTCTGCATGGCCGAAGAGCCTGGTGCCACCTCACTCTGCCCCACCCCACATGCAAATCCAGGGGTATGCGCCTCCCGTGCCCTCTCAGGCTGTGTACCACCCACCATGCCCCCAAAATGAGCCACTCATGGCTCCACCCTTCTCCTGTCCCGGATGAGCAGGGTTTGCCCCTGTTCCACTCTCCCTTTCACCACTGTGTGCATGCCTCTCCCCACCCCTGCTACAGTTACCAGAAGCCCACAGCCAGGCTGCTTTGTGGCCCTACTTCTGCCCCACTTGTGGGGGGGCTAAGCCCCATTGGCTCCCCCCTTCCACCATCCAGGCCGGGGCAAGGTCAGAGCCTGGGTGGCTCGTCTAGGCACACAGGGGAGGGCTTCCACCACTGCACACACCCCAGCGGAGGCCTGGGGGGCACATGTTGCTTCATACTGTGTGCAGGGCTTGGGGCATGAAGTCCAGGGTCCAGTGGCAGCTGCCTCTTGTCTCGCACACAGATCCAGAGGGCACGTGGGCCTTGGGCCTCTGCCAGGGTGCATGCAGCATGGGAAACCCCCAAAGCCCCTGGATGAGCTGATTGGGTTTCGACCCTCCCTCAGCCCTGCCTCACTCCCTCCCTCAGCACAGGGCAGCAGGGCATAGAGGGGGATTGCCCCACTCACCCAGCCTCGCCCCAGTGGTAGGGGGCATGACTCAGCCCAGCCACACTGTCCTGCTGCTCCTGAACTACGTCCTAGCCACTCCCAATCGTGGAACCTCTGACAGTCGATCTCAGTCAGGGAGGGCTGAGCGCACGCACACTCAGGCCCCCCAGACTGAGATTGACTGTCAGAGGCTCCACAATTGACTAGTTGATCGGGATCCACCAGCTGGTGACCATTGAGCTAAACTGAGATAACAGAATACTTATTAGCAGTGATACAAAAGAGAAAAAACTGAGAGAGAATATCAGATCCCTATAAATTTGCAAGCTGGAATATTAAAAAAAAATAGTCTACCTGCAAAAAGATCAATTATGATATGGACATAGTTGAAGAAGAAATAAGTACTCTCCAGATTGTCATATAGTCTCTCTTTTCTGATTACTATCCTACCCTGAAATATTTTTTCTTAATAGTCCAAATACTGTCATATTAGCCTCCATTGGACTGACTTATTGCAACAGGAATCAAATGTTTATTGCAAATACTAATTCATTTAGGGAAGGAAATGGTATTAAAAACAAAAGAGAGGCAGGAGAATAATGTAGACCTATCAGACTACTCTACTAAATGATGTCAAAGTGAAACACTGCAGCTGCCACTTTACATCTTAAAATTACTGATGTCAGCACAGATTCCTTATACAGAGCACTAAATTTGGGGGTTCTTAATTCTGAAATAGGAAAAATCCATTCCAAATATTTCCCAAGGATAAGGTGAAAGGTTTGATTTGGCTGAGCTATAAATAAATGATTAATATGCATTGTGGTCTGATGACTGATACTCTCAAATAGGAAGGCTGAGGAACTTGACTCTTGAGTTATGTAGTATTTACAGCCATGTTGTTCAGAATTTTGTGGACAGCACATTTCCAGAAGCTTGACAGCAATTAGTCTACTGGTATGCCCAGACAACCAACAGACTACCTACTGATGTGAACTATCATACTACTTCCTTGCTTTCCTTCATTTAGTATTATTCATTATTCATATTAGTATCCAGATGTTATCTTTTATCTTATGCTTAGGATGTAAATTGTTTAGGGCAGAGATCATGTTTTTGTCCTGTGTTTGTATAACTAACACAAGGGGTCCCGATCCACTATTAGGACCCTCACACATTATGTAACTAGTAAATCACCGCTATCATCATGAATGACATTTCCACAGTGGGATAATCTGCCTGGCTTAAATTATCTCAGAAGTACTGCCTTGCCTGAATTCTTCATGGATTCATCTTCCTGTGTGACTGCCCAGCTCTGAGAGCAAGGATACCCCAATCTGGTCTGGAATATTTACTTGCTATCAGAAAATACAGTAGTAATAGTAATGATTGTGGGGAAAACCCAGGTAACCTCAGTGACATGAAGTAGTTGCACTTAAGTTGCACTTAAACTGAATGGTTAGTAGACTGCTAATGGTACCCCAGTGACCTATTATGCCCTCAGGATATCCAGTCATTTTCCCCTCAAACCTTTGGCAAATGCCTTAGCTCTATTGAGAAGCTTTAAGCAGTCAGTGAGAAATTGTACAGTACCCATTCCCCGTATATTTTCTTTGCAATGCCTGTACATCTAAGCAGTGAAAATGTAAACTGTTTTCCATCTCCCAAGTATCGTGTTATGACTACTATGACCATGTGAACACTACAAAATGGCTGATAGCTGAAGGCCTCAGTAAAATACTGGTGAACTAACAATGCTATGACTCAGTTTGAGATGAAGTGGTCTATATAAAGTTCATATTGGGTATATAGTAAGTGTAAAGCCTTAAAAGTTATACTATTAAAAGTATAGTTGGGGTATACATGTATCATTAGTTTTATGACAAGGGAATTGTATAGACTGGGTAAAATAATTATCACCGTAGAACCACTTGTTTCCAGGTAAGGATAGTTTTAGGTTTCTGTATCAGAAGTTGATCACACAGTTAAAATTCATTGCCTGGTCTTTTTTGTTGCTGCTGTGGTTGTGTTGTTGTTGACATGGGAAATAATAGGAGCAGCAGAAGTTTGTTGTTTGTTCTATTTTTTCATAAAGTAAAACTGAGCAGAGAAGGGGTAAACTACAAAACATTGAGAACAAGTCCGACAATGAATTCCACTTAACCCGGCAAACAGTGTTATAGTGGTAATTACCCCAGCCTAACTGGTGCCCTTAAAAAGTAATGGGACAAGCTCCAAGTCATTTAAAGAAAATGCCATTGTCAAGGCTTCATTTTTAATTGGTGACAAAAATAAAGGGGTAGAGAAAATGGGGAGAAAGGGTGAAGAAAGGGGAAACTGCTGTATTTTCTTCAACGTCGCCCTGATCTGTGCAGGTGTAAAAGATGAAATAGGTGTGGGTATGACGCCACTGCTACATGCAACATAAATAATAAAGGAAAGAACCAAAATACTAAACAAAACAAAAAAAAAACTCTCTGCTAGAGAAAGACAGGTTGGACCGCACTCTGGGCTACAGGGAACCCGTTTTTACTCACAATAGATCACTATCAGTGTGCAGTTAAAATATAGTAGGGGCCGTGTTCCAAGGCAGCAAGAGGAAAAATAAATCAAAAATTTGTCATTTGTCACACATTACAACAAATTCCTTCAAACACATCAATGTATACATGATCTGTCCCTCAGGGGTCCAACCCCCACCCTTCGCAGCAAGCACAGTCACTGGAAAAAAATATATAGAGAATTAGACCAGAACTCTTATACAGAATGAAAGAAACAGAAAATATAAGTCATCCAGTTTAGAGATTTCATCCCAACGTGGCTGCATTTTATACAAAAGAACATAAATATATTTAACCATTTGGTGAAAAGCTACAACGAAATTAAATAAGAAAAAATTGAAAACATAAGATAAGCATATGACAAAATTATCAATGGTCCGTGAATAGAATTTTCACACATGCATTTCTCCCAGGACAAAAGCGATGTGAACATTTACAGATTAAATGGGGAGTGGGAAAGGGAAGGAGAAGAAGGGATAGCTGAAAGGAAAACATAGTTACTCTAATTATCCCTGGCCTTGTAGAGATGCACAGTTCTCCACTGAATTATTAATACCAGGCCTAACGAGTTTGGACAAATGGCTATGTAGGTCAGACTCAGTTTTAGACCCTGACAGTATCACAGCTAATGTTCAGACAGTATCTAAAGGGACAGGAAACCTCAGATACATTAGTAAAGAATGTAGCTTTCAAGTGTCCCAGGAAGCTGTATGTAATTAATGCCATAATAATTAAGATTTTCTTATAAAGAAAACACGCTTTCATATTTCATTTACCTGTACTTGCTGATAGTTTTATCCTTAACCTTTCATTTCATCTTACATCATCTGCACTCAACTGTCTCTAATTTTTATTATATTGCTCGTTAATTAGAATATATATGCATGTGGACTATTTGTATTGCCATTAAAAATTAAGTTGATGGTTGAGCCCCTTAATTCAGTGGAAAATGTTTTTGTAATTTCTGCTTTATTTTGGCTACATTGCTTGGGCAGAATATATAGGAGAACATGGTTAAGATTTTTAAAGTAACTATAGCGTTGAATTGCTCAGCATGAGAAAACTTAAAAAGAGGCCTGATTTTCAGACATTACTGAGTATCCCTCATCTAAAAATAAGGCCCTTTTATAGGGTCTCAAATCAGGCCCTAAAAATCAGAGGACCAAAAAACCACTAATGGCCTTTGTGAATATTGTACTTTGCGGTGTGCTATAAAAAAAAAAAAAACTGAATTACTGATTATGGTAAAAACATATTATTAAGTGGGGAACTGTTGTTTTTTTCATTTCCTTGACTTCCAAAATTGAGAGTTATATTGTCATTCATGCGCCTGGCCTTTATATTAATATCCTAGCTGTTATCTTGCAATACAGTTGAGCGAAAAGTGACATTATTTGGGCCTAACATTCAAATGACAATTCCCTTAGGGAATTTAGTGGAAGCCTGCACCCAGGGAAACAACATGTTTTACATGTATAAAAAGAAGAGGCGGCAGAAGCAACCCAACTAGACAGGTTGCATATTTCCTCTTCCCCAGTGCTTTGGGAAATCTTGAAAAACAACTGGTTTTCAGAGTTAAAGGCACCCTCAGGCAGCTGTAACTTGCCTGATCAAAACTTAGCAGTCTCATTGGCCCTGGGAACAGTTTAAGAGTCACATTCTCAAATGGTTAAACACATTTAAATGGTTAAACACATTCTTGAACATTTTTCCCCAGTGTGTTTCACAATTGCTTGCATACCTTCCACATCAGGCCTTCAAGTCTTTTCTTTCCATTTATTTTGCAGTCTGCTATTGAGAGGTCTCAGCTCCTCTCAGTAGTGTAATGATCAGTGGGTGACCAGGGCACCAGCCCAAGGTGCGCTCTTGGCGGCGGCACATAAATGTCAGCTAGCACCAGGCCCAGTTGCCACATCTGGCCCACTCCTGTCTGTTACACCTCTTTCAACTGTACTTCACCTCTTTCCTTAAGGAAACAACATAGATCTAGCTCCCATCTTTTTGAAGAAGGAAGAGAAAAAGTTTCCTTAAAAACTTTAGCACTATTTTCTTGTCAAAAAAAAAAATCAACATTCTGGTAAGAGTAGAGGCTGACAATTCTGTTCCTGGCACTCCTCCATCTTTCAGGAATGCAGAACAACAGCAACTGTGGATCAGTAGGCTACAATTTTTTTTGGAAACTTAGAAGCATGGATTATCTCAGAAGAGGCTGTCAGTCTCACTTAAACAATATTTTTGTACCTCATGCTCCTTTTTATGTCAGGATACCATCTAACCAGTATCCATGGGTTATGCAAATATCCATTAGCAAAAGGATCACCATACCTATATTTGGAATCTACATAGCAAATACATCCTGGGCCAAACCTTTCTCAAAGGCAATGTGAAGACACATGGTTTGTATACTCTGACTGCAGAAAATCCAGCAAAATCAAAGGTCGAGATACACATGTGCATAAAATTAAAGAAAACACACACAAAAAAACCAGATCTCAGTTCCAATGTTCTGTTCTTCCTGCATGTACAAATCTCCAGCTAACATAAACAACAATTCCAGGAACATAGATAAAGCACAATATAAACAATGAAATCTGCAGAACACTTCTGAAAGAATTATGTCCCATTTTAAGGGCCAACCTTTGGCACGTCTTCTACATACAAAACTCCAGTCGACTTTGTGAACTATATGAAGAATGACTTTTGGATGGAGCCTGAGGAAATCATCTTAATATGTGATTTCAGCTTTCTTACATGGTTAAACATTGTTTTTAGTTCTTCTTTCTTTTACGTGGTCAACCATATTATGCAACAAGACCTACTTTCTTCCTTAACACCTCATGGAAGTCCGTTGAAATTAATGGATTTCCACAGGATATAATTCAAGGCACAGTTTGGCCCAAAGTTGATGTGCTTAAGTAAGAAACCTCACACTCAGATTCAGTTTTATTTAAAAATTTCCATTTTGCTAACTGTGGACTTAAAAAGTTTTTTTTTTTAAAATGATGTAGCTGTAAGTGAGAAATGTGATTTTTTAAATACATATTCAACACAAGAATAACAAATGACATTTATTAATTGTATTAGTATGTATTTATTTCCTAGTTTTTCTGCATCATTATGTAAAACATAAATGCATTTAAAGAAATTCCTTAAGGCTGAGAGATTCATGGAGTTGGGGGATGAAGGGGAGGAATATAGTGGGAGGAAAGGGAGAGAGAAAAAGAAATATTACTTACGCCGTTTGCAACCACATTTTTTTATCCTTTTGGGATCTGTGATGTCATCATGACAGGCCTTGCAGTAAAAAAATGCCCTAGAGAGACAGAATGGAAAAACTGACACATTTCCTAATCCACACAAATGAAATTAGTCCTACATTCCTCCTGCTGCAGTGCCAAATTAATGAAACATGCCAGTACTAATTTTCTTTAATCTTTGGGAAGGTTTAGACATTTAAAGGAAAAAATATTTGCTACAAGACCATTTATTTCTAACACAAGACTCTAGGATTCAAGTTAGTGCTTCTTTTAATACATTTATATTTGAAAAGTAATTGGGAGAAGGGATGATAAATATGACAAAGTGGATCAGATCATGTGCCTTTCATCTTTGAAAGTGGCATCCAGCGACTTTCATCATTAAACTACTGTTCTTGGCCTGAAAATTACTAATGAAGTTCCATTTGATTTCTGTAAAGGACGCCTAAGGATTTACACCAAATTGTCATATAGCTGATCCTTAACTAGGCCTTTATTATTGGGGATACAGATCAGATATTATGGTGGCTTAAACTGTTATCAATAACTTCATGTCTGCTATTAAACCTGAAAAAATGGAACTAGCATCATAAAAATCAAGCTCAAAGCAAGATATAAACATGGAGAGTGACATCTTAGTTCAGTCATTAGTATTCAATTAATAAAGAGTTATACTACACCTAGCAAAAACCCTAAAAGAAAGAAATCTTAAATTATCCATAAAACAATTTATTAATCTCGCTAATTCAACTTTGTACTTATTACTATGGTGTTAAGGGTCTGCCAACACAGATGAAGCATATGGAGTGCAGGGGAAGTAAGAAAGAACAAATGTGCAATAAAACTTGCAGATTGTTAAACTAAAATTATGTTTTAATAAACAAGTGTAAAACTTCCCACAGGTGATTTCAAGTTAACATGTCATATAATATTGCTGTGACACATGCACATTCCATGAAGACACAGCTGGCCTCTAATTGAGCCTGTATGGCCTGGTATAATGTAGAACTATTTTTGCCAGTGTGATAATCTGGGTCACACCAGCAGGTCAGCACCTGACAAAGTCTTCCTGTCACGTGCCTTCTCAGGTTCCTTCCTACAAATTCAGGCTGGAAAAATTGCAGGATGAATTAGGCCCAGACCTTCTGGCTTTGTGAGCAACACTGATCCTGGACTGGAGGTGGGCTGAAAGCTACTGGGATCAGATTTAATTTAGAATATTTTCTTATAAAATATAAAGTATATAATGGGATGAAATGTGACCTTGCTCTAGTGTAACTAAAAGAGCTAATTTTATATTAATATTGGATAAAGTATCAAAGCAAGAATTATGTTTCACACTATCCAAAGGCACGGGGCAGCAACACAGGTAGCAAAATACTCATCTGGCTTGAAGGCAGGCATAACCCATCCTTCAAATTCCAGAATAACAAGGTGGTGTTTAAGGGTGAAGCTATATGTTAGACCATACTGAGGGCATTTAAAACACAAGTATCCACATGTTAAAGCTTTTTAACTTGTGCTGAGTGCCCTCTGAGCATCATAAAGTTATGCTGCTTCAGGCAAGCATTAACTCTGGCCCATGCTACTTATCTCTTGTTAGGGTAACATCAGTCTACTCCACAGAGAGAAAATAAGCAATTTACAGTCTTCCAGCATCCCAGGACACACTGCTTCTATCCCCCCAGCCCCCAGAGGCAGGAGTCCTGGCTCCTAGCTAACCCCCTGCTTACCAGCCCTCTAGTGGCAAGTCAGAGATGTGCAGGCAAGAAATGGTATTAACCCGTAACATGCAACTGCTTACAACATATTTTAACTTTAACACTAGATAACATTCCACAGATTTAGTGCGGTGTTAGTTTAATGTGTAATTTTACCCTGGCACTAAATGCAATGGTGACCACGTCCTCTAGGGGTATTTCTGAATATTACCTGGAATTCCCCTGAAAATGGCTACAATGATTGTGGGTGCTGTTATCCTCCTTGTACAACTGGAAGAAATTAATCTTGGAGAATTCAAGTGGCTTGTAAAGTACTCAAAAGAAAGAGACAAAGCCAGGCAAGAAAAAAAAAATCAGAAATAGGGTACAGGTTTCCAGCTACTCTAGCTGCTTAACTGCTAGGCAACATAGAGTCAATGAATATTTTCCTAGATAAAACTCTTCTTGGTTTTTTTAAGTATGGGGAATGAGACCATGTCTGAAGGTCTGGTTCAGACAACACTCTCAACATTTATTTGCTTGTCCATAGTTGATCCAGCTCTCTTTTGTTTTTAAAACTAGGCTGGAAGCCCTGTCACAGACAGTTCTCTCTACTTCCTACTATTAGCCAATGTGAACTGAAAGAGTTTAATTTAGAACCCACAAATACAGGAGAACTGGGGGAGATGGGGAGGGAAAGGGGGCAGGGAAGAAAAATGAATTATTTTTTTTACTTCCAAAGTAACTTAATTCTGAGTTTTGCATTGAAGCTTAGGTAGATATTGAAGCTTAAGTAGATATTTGCAATTTTAACTGTAAAACATGCCATAGTCATAAGGAGTTCCAAGTCTATGTAGACCTCTACTTCCCTTCCTGGCCATTTGGTTCACATTCATTTTGATTCTCCTGAATTTAATCCAGTTAATTAATACTTATGAATTTAAACTCAGAGGGTGCATATCCACCCAAAGGGTTTATCCCTGCATGCCCAAACAATGCTCCTAGGAGTATAAGAACTTTGCTTGGGCATGCAGGAATGAAGTTAGGAAAGCCAATGCACAATTGGAATTGCAGCTATCAAGGAATGTGAAAAGTAACAAGAAAGGTTTCTACAAGTATGTTGGTAGCAAGAGGAGGATCAGGGATAGTGTGAGGCCCTTACTGAACAGTTTGGTCAAGGGTCTGGTGAGAGATGCATGGGTGCAAGCCTGTCGCGCCCCTGCACCCAAAGCCCTCCAGCAGCTGCAGAGCACCCTGCTGACCCCCAGAACAGCCGGAGGTAAGTGGGACCCATGGTGGGAGGGACATAGCCCAGCTGCGGGGCAGCTAAGTGGAGCCAAGGAGGGTCTTGCCCCACCCCGGGTCCTACTTGGTCCAGGCCCCAGAAAGAGAGAAGGGGGGGAAAGGGTACTAACCAGCCCCTCTCTGGTAGATCAGGGTTCCCCAAAACCCCTGGGTAGGGCCCCCCTTGCCCAGGAGCAGTGCGGTGCTGGCGGTGGGCCCACTGCACATGTGTGTAGTTTAAAAGGGCCCACCAAAGGAAAAAAGCCACAGTTTGTCCCCAGGTGCAGTGAGAGACACAAGGGTGCAAGCCTGTCATGCCCCTGCACCCTGACGCCCCCCACTGACCCCCAGCAGCCATGGAGCACCCCGCCAACCCAAATGTCACGGTTTGGAGCAATCCCAGTCGGGTCATGAGAGACTACAGAGCTCTGGGAGTGGGGCTTAGGGGGCACAGGTGGTCTTTTCCTCACTCTTCCTGGTTGTGGGTCATGGGCAGAAGAGGGAGAGACAGGTTGAGGTAATCAACCAAAGACTGCGGTGCTGGTGTCATCGTGAAAGCTTCGGCTCCCATGATCACAATCTGCTCTTTGGTGAAAAAGGCAGTGGTCTGCTGAGCAGAGACAGCCTCCACCTCACTCCGCTGGGGAGGAGGCTCTTCTCAGCCAGACTTGCTGACCTGCTTGACCGGGCTTTAAACTAAGCCCACTGGGGGATGGGGGGACTACCACTACAGCAAGCCCACTGGGCAAGCCTTGTAAATCCAGCAGGCTAAGGCACTTAAGGGAACCCACCCCTACCCTAGCCCCAAAATGATCTGTAGCGAAGGCAGGGGTCCCCAGTGGGACACTTACCTGCCTGTACACCAATGCCAAGAGCTTGGGGAATAAACAGGAGGAACTGGTCCTCCTGCTAAACAAGAATGACTATGACCTCATAGGGATAACGGAGACCTGGTGGGACTCACCTATGACTGGGCCACAGGGCTATACCCTGTACAGGTGAGACCTTACTGTTAAAAGGGTGGGGGTATAGCTCTCTATGTCAAGGACAGATACACATCCCTACAAATGGACACTGGCACCCAGGAAGGATGACTGCAGTCTCTCTGGGATAAAATATGTGGGGAACGTGGCACAGGGGACATCATGGTAACAGTCTACTACAGATCTCCTAACCAGAAACAAGAGCTGGACCAGGAATTCGCTAGGGAACTGGCTGAGGCAGCATGCTCTCAGTGCATGGTTGTCATGGGAAACTTTAACTACCCGGACATCTCATGGGAAGAGCACTCAGCCAAATCCAATCAGTCACAAAGCTTCCTCATGTGCACGGACGATCTCTACCTGACTCAAGAAGTCTATGGGCTGACAAGAGGTAAAGCACTGCTGGACCTGGTACTGGCCAAAAGGGATGACCTAGCCAGTGATCTAAAAACTGATGGAAAGTTGCGTGATAGTGACCATAAGCCGATCACCTTTACTATCCATCACAAAGCTGGCAAGTCAGTCAGCAATACAGAAGTCCTCAACTTTAGGAAAGCTGACTTTGACAAGCTCAGAAGGCTTATTGTTAAGGCCCTAAGGGACCATGACTCGACAGGAAGTGGAGCCCAAGAGGACTGGTTGCTCCTCAAGGGAATGATCCTGACAGCACAAGGGATGGCCACCCTATC